CTAGTACCTACATTATTAGTACGCAAATATACAAACTTGCAAAGCAACAGCTCTGCATTGAGCTCGCTGGATCGGATCCTTCGGGAGAAGAGGGCAACGGTCTGGATATACTTCATCTAGGTATTCCATGATAGCCATACTCTCAGTTAGTGGAATTCCATCAATAACAAGTGCTGGCACTTTTCTTGCAGGATTTACTTCCACAAATTCAGGAGAAGTCTAAAACAACCAAAATAGCTCCATAATATCGTACTATGGAAAGTGTTGTTATTACCATATCTTCATTTGATAGTAAGTTAACGGTTTTGTACTCGTAATCAATCTTCTTAAGGTTTAGAGCTGGAAACCACTTTGCGTTAAAACAAGCAATGACGAACCGATATGTAAAATTTACCTATACGAACCCGCCAAGCGCAAGAGCTTCGCCAATAGGAGAAAAGTATCGGTTTCGAGCTTACCATGGCCTAAACTAGAATGGATAGCAAATTCTAATATGTGACAGATGCGATAAAGAAAATAGAATGATAGGAAAGAGCAACAAATGCAATGAACCAGGTTGGTCGATAGCGCAAGGTCGTGTCGCTGATATCAAGGCTGATTCAAAAGCAAGAACGTTAGCCATTAGACCAAATGACTGATATGAAAAGAATCAAGTTATAACGATATAATAAAATGATAAAGCAGAAACTTATTATTTATACTTGTTCGGAAGTCATCCACTTTTTTACGATGCATTTCTGATATGAATTAAATCTAACCCTATGACACAAATCATTACTGAAAATCAAACCTTTCTGCGAGCTGAATCTGCTGTGATTTAATCTTTTGAATGCCAATTGACAGATTGAGATCGCAGTTGAAAGATTGATTTTCAGTAATAATTTGTGTTATAGGGTTAGATTTAATTCAGTTTATGGTGGCTAGCGTTCGGCTGTAAATGTAAAAATTTTGTATACTCTATCTTAGTGTGTCATCAAATTCGCTATTAAATCATTTAATATAACTTCATTATATACTTATACTTCATTAACCTTGACTCATTTTGAAAAAATATGTACTTGTTGAAACCGCTCGATTTCTTTTTTGATGGGAGCAGTAGCGTTTAGATTTCCTTTGCAACCGTGAAGCAAAAGGTGACTCTTTTGAAGTGATTCAGCTTCAGATTGTGTGCAAACCTAAAAAACGAAATTCTGACAGATGAGAAGAAAGAAATACCAGCTGAACTACATGAAGACATGTCAAAGAAAGTTGGTTTTCATTAATGTGGTGCGAAAATACGATTGTAATGCAGGCGATTCTTAAAGTCAAATCGTATTCCAAGAACTTTCTACCAAAGGAGAGAGTACTTATAAATTTCACACAGATTAAGAAAAATGCCCAGCTTTTATGAAAATACTTATTAATTCCACGATCTTTCTTAATTTCTGACGAGTTAATTAACTTTTGTTTTCTACTGTAGGTCATCCCAAGTCAAGTATTCGTTGTTGATCTATCGACAGAATGGTATCCAATGCGTCGGTCTGGCATTGTCCTTCTTTTTCGCGCCCACATTGTTGATTTTTTGGGTTATATGGCATGTTACTTCAGTTATAACTAATTTTGATTTAATGCTTACAGAAGGATGTAAGAGTAGGACCGCTTTAATACTATTTTTATACAATCATGTTTTAAAATGTTTTCTCTTGCTTTTCTTCCTCCAAACTTCTGCAAAAGTTTGCAGTGAATCCTCGTATTATGTAAAAGAGTGCCGACAACAAATTGTGCTTTCTGCCAAGGGTCTGTTTTAGTATTA